AAAATTATATTCAAATATGTTATTAAAGTGTTAAATTGATAACCATTTAGAATAAATTAGGATGTGACATCCCGTTTTTAACAAGTTTTAGACAGTTGTATTTAAACATCCATGTCTCGTTTTTTTAATATATCAAAAAATTAAGTAGAAGTTGTAAGTTAGTTCTGGTAACGAAATCCCTAACATAACTGTTCTTCAACAGACTTATGAGGAAGAACGACTGAAATCGACACTTCATAACTTTAAAAGTCACCATAACGAATCGTTTGTCAGATATTCGATGTGTCGTTGTCTCAACACAAAAGTGATATGTTTTAGCGGTCTTAGATCTTTAGAAACTAGTATTATCGTCTGATCTATTATATTACCAATTGTTTTCTATCACGGACTGTGATACTTTGACTGAGAATGGCTTCCTATGGCGGGTGATGCATGCATATAAGGAAAGTCTGACGCTTACCCGGTCGACGCATCTGGTCTCGTTCAATATTAATTTTGCAGTTTATGCGATTCCCTTAGTTTTTGTTTATTACCTTTATTTGGCTCTTTTCGACGATTTATAAGATTTGAATAGATAAGAAAATTCTTTAAATGAGCCTTAATGAAAGTTTACAAAAAATAAAGAAAGCATACCCATTTGATTCAAATCAACATAGACAGTCAGTTTAGTCAAACATCAACTTAGCTAGGGCAATAAATCCAATTTTTGGTTTCTTAAATACTGATGAGGCAAACGATCCTCGTGAAATCAACACGTGACTGAGTTGGGACACTTTCGAATGAAGTGGTTGATTAAACCAAAATTCACAGAACGTAAAACCTTACACTTGTACACATGTTGTATGACATTCAATTCAAAATAAGATATCGTGGTCGAAATTTAAAGTTTATAGAAAGAAAACGTGTATGTGTTTTTTTTCAAAATCAAATTAAAATGTGAGTGGTTATGTATCAAATGTGATGTTTCATAGCTTAAGTATGTATGTTGTATAAAGATAATTTTACAAGCACTTAATTAAATGCTTACTTACTATTTTGTTATACGATTAAATATTTCGTCATTGCATGTTCGTTATGAACTTAAGTTGGTTGTGTTAATGACAATCATAAATGAACAAATTACTGAAGATTACTTTAAGTCTTTACTAATTTGTTTTTCTACTGATATTTGTTCAGTGATATTAAGTCACTCCAATAAAGGTAGAACAGAACATCATATTCGTAAAACGTTTAAATGAAGTGAGAATGTCAACATAATCTGCATCGAATGAAACAGATATATTTCTGTTGCATCACTGATATTCTTTATAAAGCACAAAAATGTCAGTATTCACCTCTGAAACTAACAAAACCTTTAAATAGACTTATTAAGAAGGGATATAGTTACGATACTGTTGTCAGGTCATTAAAGATTGCATATTTTGGCGTTAATATTGATTCACTTATAGGGTCTTTGCATCGGCACTTAACACATTTATTTAAAAACCAGTTGTTGGCATGACACGGGTTATGTTCTTCTCATATATGTTATGATGGTATGATACTAAACCCCTAACGGGAAGGATTGTGCCTGATATTCATATGATGAAGACATAATCTTTCAATCAGTTTAATTGAAGTCTGGATCTGGCATGTCAGTTAACTGCTAGTAGTCTGTTGTTATTTATGTATTATTGTCATTTTGTTTATTTTCTTTGGTTACATCTTGTGACATCAGACTCGGACTTCTCTTGAACTGAATTTTAATGTGCGTATTGTTATGCGTTTACTTTTCTACATTGGCTAGAGGTATAGGGGGAGGGTTGAGATCTCATAAACATGTTTAACCCCGCCGCATATTTGCGCCTGTCCCAGGTCAGGAGCCTCTAGCCTTTGTTAGTCTTGTATTATTTTTAATTTTAGTTTCTTGTGTACAATTTGGAGTTTAGTATGGCGTTCATTATCACTGAACTAGTATATATATTTGTTTAGGGGCCAGCTGAAGGACGCCTCCGGGTGCGGGAATTTCTCGCTGCATTGAAGACCTGTTGGTGGCCTTCTGCTGTTGTCTGTTCTGTGGTCGGGTTGTTGTCTCTTTGACACATTCCCCATTTCCATTCTCAATTTTATGTAATATATGATTGTGCTTTATAAAGAATATTTCCATAAAATATTGGATGTGAAATACCTGATCGTATAAGAAGTCTGCATGTTGAGCTATATTTACGAATGATGTCCTTATACCGATGATAAAATTTAGTAAATGTTTTGACTAGTTTGTGATATCGAAAACCCTGGTGTAATAATTTTTCAGTAATACATAAATTTCTCTCGTTAAAATCTAAAACATTGTTACATACACGAGCGAATCGTACAAGTTGAGATATATAAACACCATAAGATGGTGACAAGGGAACGTCACCATCTAAAAATGGATAATTAACGATAGGAAATGAAAAATCATCTCTTTTATCATATATTTTAGTATTAAGCTTTCCGTTAATGATATAGATATCAATATCGAGGAAAGGGCAGTGGTCATTGTTAGTATTAGCTTTATTTAAAGTAAGTTCAACAGGATAAATTTCTTTAGTATACATACTGAAGTCGTCATTATTGAGAGCCAAAATATCATCCAAATATCTAAAAGTATTATTAAATTTGTGTATCAGATGTTGTTTCGATGGGTCTTTGCTGATTTTTGTCATAAATTGTAACTCATAGCAATACAAAAAAAGGTCCGCAATAAGTGGTGCACAGTTAGTTCCCATTGGAATTCCGATAACCTGACGATATACGGAATCTCCAAAGCGAACAAAAATGTTATCTAGTAAAAATTCAAGGGCATATATAGTATCAAAGCATGTCCAATTGACATAGTTTTTTTGTTTATTGCTACTAAAAAATGACCTAAAAGAGTTTGAACATATATATTCACATTCTGACTTTTTAAATGCCCATTTAATTAGGTGTGTGAATTTTTTCTTAATGAGAATGTGAGGCAATGTGGTATATAGGGTAGAAAAATCAAAACTTTTAACAGATTCAAAATCACCAATATATGCATGTAATTTATCAAGTACTTCCAACGAGTTCTTGACACTCCAAAAGTAATTAATTCCACTATTTTCGAAGGCCTTATTTGAACAATTTATTATCAGGTTTTTGATTGTACCAAGTGTACTGGTAAGAAGAATAGACAATTTAGTAGTGGAACAATGGCTTGAAGACGAAATGAATCTATATTTGTAAGGTGTTTTGTGTAGCTTCGGAAGCCAATACATAGTTGGGACTTTCATTGTATTTGGTTCTGCATGTAAAGCGGTAGCTAAAAGTTTATGTTTGTTACAGATGTCGTTTTCTGAAAATGGAGTCAGTTGGAATGTTGGTGAATTGGTGATTTCTTTTTTCAGAACCTCAATGTAACATTTACGTCAAACAATATTAATATTATTAGCAGCTTTATCGGCCGGGACAAAAACAAATTCCTTGGCTAGTTCTTTTAGTTTATGTTTGATACGAGAAATAGGTTTATTGTGGTTATTGTTAAGAGTAAAATGTTCTTTAAAATGTTGAATACGTATATCAACTATGTTCATTACTGAATTAAAAAAAGAGTCCAAAGATTTTTTGTCAGCTTTTTCCCGTTTTATCCATTTCAAACAGTAAGTATGGAGTGAGTCGTGGATGATATTACGACACTCATTCCAATTAATAATTGACGGGGGACGATATTTAGGTCCTTTACTGAGGAATGATTTTAACTCTCGATCTTGAACGATGTTAAGATCTCCTGTTATAACATGGGAAATGGGTCCATAAATGTATTCTGAATTACTGCAATTACATGAAGTAGGTGTATTTTCACTGATATTAACATCTTTACACAATTGGCTATAATTAAACACAAATTTCCGGGTAGATTTCTTGTAAATATAACAAATAAGAGGGAGCTCAGTATTATCAAAATATCCCGGAATTTGTTCTTTAACAGAATGGTCGTTAAAAATACCGGCAATATTTACAAAATCAAAACCTTTATTGACATACTTTTTTTTAATAAACTGTTTTTTATGATCTTCAGGGCGATCAATTTTGGGAAACAGTTTAGAATAACAATATGCCATTATAATTTGAACGATTTCATACTTAGGACTGCTATATGAAATTGTGTTGCAATCCTCTAAAATTTTATTTAACTTATTAACCGGTAATGAACAGAGCTTTGTTAACAGATAATGTCTGCCGTTGTTTTTTGAAATAGAAATAAACTGGATGACCAATAAATATACCTGGGGTATATCCAAAAGGGTAACAAGATGGGTACTAAAAAAGGACATCCTTGGGGCCAGTATTTGTTTTTTTTCTTATGTTGAAGTCAAGTGTCCGAATTCACTCTCGTTTTCGCTTCTTGTGTCTTTAAGAGTTTTGAAGCACAAAAAAATAGAAGATAGACAAAACAGTTATTGTAGCCTAATCCTGATTGACTACGTATGTACAACGTATTTTAAGAGTTATTTATTGTTTTTATAGATATAAGATATCAATTTTAGGAACTTTACCAACTGAAGACGACGATGTTGTGACTAGAAAGGAGCTGTTTTCTTCTCTTTTGTGGAGGTGTTGTCTCTTTGACACATTCCCCGTTTCTATTCTCAATTTTATTAATAAAGGAATCACATATAGTTGAAACATTAACTGAATCGTAATAAAATAATCGTTCATTGTGAATTGTATGGACGTTATTAGCTATATCATTACCTCCCATGCAACTTGAGATTATTTTAATGTCGCATCTCTCAAGGACAAAGATGTGAACAATAACAGGTTACTGCATGGCTTTCAACGACGAGCATACCCATGCTGTATAGTAAGGAACAAAGGCCTGAAGATGACAAAATGAGAAATTATTCAAGATAGAAATCAAACGGCCTGATTACTTTTACATCAATTCACGAAATACAGTAGAGTTTATCTGATTTTTCTTTAGCTATTAAGACAGCGTGTACAGCAAAATTTCTTCTTTCAGGTGAAGGACCGGTTAAATGTGATGAAGGTTTAGAATCGGAATCGGGGTATTATCCCGGTTGTGCATGTAAGTTACAATTTTATTGTACGAATAATTATTTACCTGTTTTTCTCTTTTTGTTGAATTTAACTGTTGTGTTAATGAAATCGAAGAAAATATATATAATTTTTCCCAACCAATAAAATCTTACGTTACACGGGCAACTAAATCAATAAAAATAAAACGCATTTAGGTATTTTCCTATGAGATGGCAACCCAACAACACAACTATCGACTCAGACATCTTGATGTCAACATACGGTCACCAAAATTTTAGGCGAATATACAAAATGGGCAATTAAAAACTTAAAGTCGAAAGAAAAAGATATAACATTATGCCAAAAACGACAAAAAGACATACATCAGTCATCAAAATTTCACAGAAGCTAAAGATGATAAGTCAAATTCAACAACATACAATTGTCTTTAGAATAAGGTAAGAATTTACTCGCCCGAAGTCATACAATGTGGTAAACAAATTGATCAGTCAGTGACCATAAACGTTATGCTATCAATAACAAATTTCACTAAGAATTAAAAATACGATATAATAGACAACCACTATCAATATTTCTTAACTTTGGATAGGGACATAGATATGTGGCAGGGCTAACTATGTTGTTTTTGATAGCAAATGTTCTTCGACAATGTCGAAACAAATGTGGGTTTAAAGTATTAATTTGTTTATACTTCTATGTCGGACAATTACAGAACGCAAAAAAAAAAGACGTAGATACTCTTTTCAAATGTATTAGGGTTGTTAGTGCTTTGAACAGAGTAAAATGTGTAACGTAATAGGTATTTATTGCTCAACAGCCGCACTACTTCTATGACAAATATGTTGAGAAAGATCCAGACATATCTTATATGCGAGTAATCGCATCATATGTAGTGAATTGACAATTTACTTTGAAACCGAAACATATACTACCAGGACACTCACTGAAGAGACAATCTAAACAATCTTAGGTGTGTTTTAAGTTCCTTTGGATTTTCATCAAAACAATGAACTGGATCGTCCATCAATCTATATGATACTTAGATAACATAGTAGTGGAGTGACATTTACCATAACATTTTATTTTTAATGCACCCACCTAACACACGGCTAAATAATATATCATTTGAAAGCTTATATCTGTACTTTTTGTTTTTTTCCTGTCGTAAAAATATCGTACGGAGCAAAATTTCTGTGTTTAGTTTATTTACCTCCCTAAAATTATGGAAAATTAATGTCTCCCTAATATTGACAATAATCGATATGCTATCTTAAAACAGAAAAGCAAGATGATCAACTTTCGGTGTTTGGGGCAACTGCAAAACCTACAATTTAAGGCTGTTTCAAGAACAACATACATAGGATGCATTTTGAAATTATGAACAAAAATTATTCACCTAGAAACCATACATGTTTGTCATATAAATATCGATCACACAAGAAACGTTTTACTTTTAGAGCTCTTTTTAAAACTTTTGGCGGATTCTTTAAGAATTGCAATTTTCTATAATTATTGCGCAAATAACTTCTTAATAATTGTTTGAAATATAAATCATAAATCCTGTTCTATAAGGTTCAGATAATATTTTGAAAAATTGTACAAGAACCAGATAATAACATTTTGTTCAATTCTAGCAAAAGTTTTAAATGTTTATTTTTTACCTTTGACCTTGATTTAACAGAAGTTGCACCGTACGATCGGTCAAAACAGAACGTATAGATGATAATCTTTCGAATGATTTATAATGTAGCTGGGTGTTAGGGTGGTGTATTTTAGTCATTGAATAAGTGTCTTTTTTGGAAAATGTCACTCGCCTATAAGTATCGCTGGCAAATAATGGTATATTGTTGGGTCAGCAAAAGCTCCATACATCTTCTTAAATTATCAAATTTTGTTGGCATTGTTATCAACATAATTTAAGAATCTTTTAAAGTTCATACAATATAGCCACCTAGTATAAATGTATACAACAGTTGACTTCTATAAAGGTTTTTTTTTAATGTATGACCTTGTACATGTTGTATTTGTTCAACTTCGAGTAGCCATACTCTTGTCATCTTATCCCAATTAGTACTTTATTGAATGCGATTTAGCACATGATTTTTGAATGCAATATGTAAGACGCTGGATGCAACTATTGGAGCAAAGCTAGCGGTATATATACCCTTCTGTGTGACCACCTGACCTTAACACTGGTTTCAATATTTCTCAATCCTATTTTTGAGTTGTGTTGTATTGTTTTTTTTATCGCATTTAGCATTATTGATTGTTAATATTCAAGCAATACTAGTATCTAATTTTGATAAACTGGGAAGACATTCTTGAGTGTTAAGAAATCATTGAACGTTAGAATGAAATAATGATATTCATTTCATAATATTATTTGTTTTGGATTTGTTGGCCTACACTTATCGTCGTATGACATATATGGAGATACGAAGTCCTGAACTCTGTGGCTAAACACTAAAGACATATACACCATGTCATTGTTATCAATATAAATATATAGGTATTTTAATAATATATTTCCTGTTAGAAAAAAGTCATATAAAAGGATGATAAGGCGTGACTGCCAATGAGACAACTACCCACATAACATTGTACATGTTTACTAAGATGATAATAATTACATTGCCGATAGAACTGCTAGATCGATACTATGTGTCTTTTGTTTTTTTGTCAATTGATGTTGTGCTACATTTAAGTACCTGATGAACCAAGCCCCTTCAATTTGATTTTTTTTCAGTTTTTTTTTTCTTATGCTGTTCTTAAGTTGTTACCCTAAAGTTCAATGACAGAAATAGTTAAGCGCTCGAAAACATTTTAAACCCTGCAACATTTATCTTATTCCTCTCCCAAGTTAGGAACCTGTGATTCAGAGGTATATTGTCATTAAAAGTTGCAGAAAACCACATTTGAAAACGTTTACGAAAATGATGATTATAGATATGGGAAATCTCATATAAATTTACTGAAAGACGGAAAATAACAAGTACTTAAACATACTATTATAAATTCAGAAATTAATGCAAGGTATTTATTAATGCTAATATTGCGACTCCTTGAGTATCGAAATAGTACGAACTCGCATTCTGATATGTGTTACATATATATGTAAGAATCTTTTCCTTAGATCGCAATAATTAAACTTGCATTTTTATGAATTCTTCAAAAATCGCCATAATAAATGCATTCATTTAATCGGAATTTACAGTAACTAATGTTACTCTCATAACATGAATGTTTTAAGTGGGTTTTTTTTTTTAAGTAAGGAGAAATTCAGTTCTTTTATTCTGAATAATCGTCAAGTTTGGCAAATACATATCAACGAACAAAAAGATATATAGAGTGTTCGTTGATAAGACAGACAGCAATCACCAAGATGACTAAACGTCAATTATATGTGGAAGTCAACATGTATCACGTTTGTTTACTTCAGAACGATACAATGTTGGCAATGAAAAAAAATAGGTTAATGAAAACTCAGAGCAAAATAGCAAACAAGAGGAAAACAATATTCTTTCAAATTGCATTTCACTCAAAATTATATCGTAGATGAAGCAACAAAAACCTGTCCTTAACAGAAGACATCATCCTGCACTACTAGTTACACACGTTACGTTGCACAGGACATAAAAAACAAGGAAAATTAAGAGGATTTCCTGCGATCCTTTATCAAGCAAATTCTGTCAAAAACACTGGTCATGTCCTTTTATGTCATAATGCGATTGATTGTATATACAGTTTCATATTACATCGAGGTAAGCTTGAATGATAAAAAAAATAGCCACAGACGATTGAGCTCTCAAAATATTATTTCATTTTTGATTTTTTTTTTACTTTAAGCATCATTTCCAAACGAAACATTAATTCCAGAGGTACAACCGTTCCTGAAGGAGAATATAACGTACGCAGAAAAAAACGTCTCCTAGTTTAAGAACGACATTTAAATGTAAATTCGAAGATGTTTCAAATGGAGAATATGTGTATGATGTTTACTGGTATATAAACGACAACAGTGTAACAGTTCATCAAAATGTTCCTTTTAACAAAATTGATACTAACGATCTTTTAGACAGCGAATGGGCAGATCAATATAATATGAATATGGAGGTAACGACAGCCAACTAAATTTATCTTTATAGGTGTAAAAAGTAGACTATGCAGATAGAAAAAAGATAGTATATCTCTACATTTATAAAGACCTACTTCTCTTCAGCTAACAGAGATTTATTTTGATTTCTGGAAAGTATCAAATCCTCTATTCCTCTTTATTAAAGGCCACACGGTGACATAAGGTTGCTTATATTCACGTATTTTGGACACTGGTGTATTTGATGAATTGACAATTATACATGTACCATATCTTCTTGTTTTTATAACCTAACTTTAAAGAAATACCTAAAGGCAAACAATTCAAAAAATATCCAACGTTGAGTTTTTTATTTGATAGAAAGTCAATTTTTATATGCCACTTGTGTTATATGCACTATCGAAATATGGAAAGAAAAAATGCCTTCATGACTTACTTTTCGAGATATGTCGCTTTGATTTTAGTCTGCTTGATGTTAAATCAATAATTTTTCACCTTTCAAAACTTTCAAAGAAAGAAATGCCTTACCCAGTTTTTGTAAAGCGTCCCTTAGCTTAGCTTAGAGGTTTTGTACTTCCACGAATAACACGACAGTTGCAACACGTGTAGCAGTATCTGCATACACTTCCGGATTACCTCAGATGACCCCCGGTTTTTAGATGGGGTTCGTGTTACTCAGTCTTTAGTTTTCTATGTTGTGTTTTGTGTACTTTTGTTTTTCTTATTGTCGTTTTTCGTTTTGTTTTCATGGCTTTGTCGGTTTTTTTCGACATATGAGTTTGAATATCCCTTTGGTATCGTTTGCCTCTCTTTTTGCTTATTTGATATTGAGGTAGTTACCAAGTGGAAGGTAAAATAAGATAAAATTGTAGTGAAATCATGCAATTGTTGGTGAAAGGAACCTAAGGAGAGTTTTTTTTTTGTTTTTTTTTTTGCCAGTACAACCATGACAAATGGATGAATAAAAAATTTTCCATTGATTTGTTCATGCAAGTATGACCTAACTTTCAACTCGAATATTTGTCCAAAAGTAGATTTTTTATGTGATTGCATATAACCAGCCGTTCTGTTTTGCTGTTTTCTAAACCGCTCAACTGATTTGATGACGTCCGTGCGTTTTCCATGAAATACAAATGCATATCATTTAGAGGGTCGCGAAAACAACGTGTTTAAATTAGATATGTTATTATCTGTCCCTGCTACTATAATACATACCCTTGGGTGAATGCAAGTAAAATAAAGAACACAAATTCAGTTGGCTTTCCTTGTTAACAAATTCCATAAATGATAATCTTTTCGTGATGAAAAGATGTTTGTATTATATATAATTCATTTATCTCAAGCTATCTATGCAATCTATGCAATTTGGTATTATAATGCGATATGCTTCATTTTTTAATATTTTATCGCGAATGGCCTTAATGGTAATTACTTAATAAATAAAAGCACACGATCTATAATTTTTCAAATGGTAAGCAAGGATTTAAGAGTCATCCTTTGTCAGAACATCTGTGATAAAAGGTACTTACTATATGCTCATGACAAGTGTCTGGACGACCTTCAAACATCGAGAGCAAAATTTAGGAACATTAAACATATAAATGTTTATAAGCATAAGAACACGTCAGGCTGTCTAATGTAACCTTACCTTTTATGCGGGAGATATCAATTTTGTAGTAGGCACGAAATCCGTATGACTATTTCTGTGTATATTAGTAATTGTCCGAGAAGATTAAATTTATCAACTACTAACATCAAAATTCATTTGTAATCACATATAATCGATTTATAACATTTCAAACGAGTAGAAGACGAATTGTAATTCCTTCGTCTGTTTCAATTTTTTCAGGTCAAATGTTCCATAAAACTACGGTTTGTAGAATATTCAATACCAGGGCCCTTCATGACAAGCAGTGTGTTTGATGCAGGATTTTTTGTAAGTAAAACTTCGCCTGTTTTAATAATATTTTTTAAGCGTATCACTTAGTTTTGTTATATATTATTTTTGAAGGCTATAAGCTCCTCCTCCAAATTTATAATTATTTTCAAACAGATATATGTATTGAATTTTAAGTTGACAAATACTAAGTTTTTTTTGCAGATTTGTCATGTTATACCAATGACGGATACTGCTTATAAGGTTTATATTGTTTCTTTGTATTATGTGCAACAACAACTAAAAGAAAAAATCTCTTGCTTGAGGATTATCTGCAAATTTAGACAATCGCTTAGGATACCGATCTCAGGTGATGTCCGATCTACCCTTAAGAGAAGATGAAACACGGTACCTTGGTTAATGACACAAAATCCATGCATAAAAAGTAGAATAACAATATAAATACCGAACTCCAAGGAAATGATCTTCATCAAATGGCAATTTCAAAAGCTGAAACACATTAAGCGAATGGAAGACAACTTTCATATTTCTGACTAGGTAAAGGCATTTCCTTATGTAGAAAATGGTAGAGTAAGCCTGGTTTTATAGCTAGCTTAGCCTCTCACTTGTATGACAGTCGCATAGAATTCCATTATATTGACAACAATGTGTGAGCAAAACAAACAGACATAATAAGTAAAAATGTAAAAAATTGGGATACAGCAGTCAATTTAAGCTAGTCTGAAATTAAAACAACACTTGTATTGCCTCTTTCCATTCAAAGTCATATCCAGGATTAAAAGCTCACTAAAAGTTTAAAACTACTAACAGTTACAACAGAATGTTTGTAACATGTTGACAATTCACACATATACGAGTTAATATCAAAAAGTATATAGCGTACAAATGTATGTCAAAAAATGTCACACAGTAACAATAATTTTCTGATAGTTTCATTGTAAAATATAGAAAATTGCACAGACAACCATGGTTCATATCGAAATATATGAGAGTTAACTCGACAGTAAATCATATGAAAAGAACAAAAAAATCGAAAGGACTACATAACAATTTTGATAAAGACATAAATCAAAACTTTAAATTTAAACAGTGACCATACAAATATTCAAAGTTTGTTTATTGATTCATACAAAAGAGTTATAGGGGTATAAACTTTAAGCACTGTTAAACTTTTTGTGGCGTATTCATTGGGCGAGAGGCCATTCTGTCAATATAATGGACAAGAAGAGCTTTATGTTTTACCATTACAAGAATACATACATGAATCTCCAAATGAAAAACAAACACATTGTTGTTCATTTTAAGATTTCATTGATTAAAAGTACAAGCATGTGGTACGATTGTAAATGAGACTACTGTTCAACAGAACTAAATGACACAGATATAAGCAAATATAGCGTAAAAACATCATAAAACAGTCTGAGAAAGACATGACATTGTGCAATGCCAAAATATATGTATGGACAGGATGAAGGACTTTAAGTGGTCATAACTGTTTACTAATATATTTATAGTTATGTTTTATTGTATAAACAACAAAAGCAATGTTAGAACCGATAAAACCGTTATTGAAAGATCTTATTACATATAAATTGATAAACTTTTCATTAATAGATTGATTGTATTAGATATAGATTAGGATATAAAGAGAAATAAGAAGATGTGGTATGAGTGCCAATGAGACAACTCTCCATCCAAGTCACAATGTGTACAAAGTAAACAATTATAGGTCAAAGTATGGCTTTCAACACGGAGCCTTGGCTCACACCGAACAGCAAGCTATAAAGGGTCCCCAAAATGACTAGTGTAAAACAATTCAAACAGGAAAACCAACGGTCTAATCTATATAAAAAACGAGAAACGAGATACACTTAAGAACCACATCAACAAACGACAACTACTGAAACAGGTTTCTAACTTAGGCATGCAAACAAATACAGCGGGTTTAAATGTTTTAACAGGCGTCAACCTTCACCCTAACCTGAAATAGTAGTGTAACATTACAACATAGAAAGACACACTATAAAAATCAATTGAAATGGCTTAATTCAATCAAAATGATATTAACAAAAACAAGTAAACAAAAGTCAACTAGTACCTTGGACAAAATGGCGTTAAATAAAATAACGTACACAGGTAAATTTAGATATAACAATTTTGTTGTAAGGAATACGGAGATATTTTTTACAAAATAAAATAATTTTTTGTTCATAGTACGTACGAGAACAGCAGTGGAAATTTATCGTGATACTAAATACTTATCAAAGGTGGTACATATTGAAAATAGTGAGACGAGATATAGCACAAAATAAGTAAACATTGAATAACAAAAATGCATTACAAATTGTGCAACAGGTGAAATTAACACGAAAGTACGATTTGAGAGTACTCGCAGCTATTGAAAGCTAGTTAAAAGCCAAAAACATTTATTAATAAAACATCATACATCAGAGACCAAAATCAACTAAAACACATCCCAGGGAAAGCCAAAAAAAATGTATCGACAAGCAGTAGGATAGTTTGGATTTAACCATATGATAAATATGTATAATGGTGAAGATAGATAAAGCAATCTCTATATAGAATATGAACGTAGATATGTATTGATACATCAAAAAAAAAACATTCGAAAAGAATACAAATTTAGTTATGTTTTAATTTGTTGATGACAAAATCGATATTTGTGCCAATGTAAACAATATTCAAATATCTTATTACAACATCAATAAGATAACCTTTACTGATAAGTTTGTTTAAAGGTGCGATGAGTGATTTCCGCGCTTTTAGTACAATATTACCGTAAAATTTAGGATGTGAAATACCGTTTTTAATCAGTTTTCTACAGGTACAGCCAAATTTACTAATCAAATCTTTGTATCTATGAAAGAATTTAGTAAACGTTTTAAGTAATTTATGGTAACGAAATCCCTGACTTAATAATTTACCAGTGATGCATTGATTACGTTCGTTAAAATCTATGACATCACTACACACACGGGCATAACGAACGTGTTGGTATATATAAACACCGTATGATTTGATGATGTGAAGATTTTTTGTCGAAAGGATACTGCGCCATAAAATAAAAATGTTCTTCCCTCGAAAGTTTAAAATAAGTTGTATGAAGATAAAACTTAAGAACTTTACATAGTCGAGAGCTAGGCTTTATTTATTTAAGATCCTTCCTTTTTGGCCTTGAAGTTGAGAGCAAAGTCAAATCAGAATTGGACGTTCTAGTTTTTTACCTTTGTTTTAATATCATACCGGTAACGATAAAGCATTAGGATTTTTCGCACTATGTTTGGAGGCTTATTACCTTGAAAAATGTCAACCGGATATAACCTTAAATAAACCGGAAGTAGCAATTTTTGCACTTCTTTCATGCAAAAGTACCTAGAAAACATATATTTGTTTAATCGGCATGCATAAATATATCCTTTGAGACCGGACGTGACATTCGGTAAACCGAAAGAAGCAAATTATCTCTCTTATTTCAGACAACAGTATATATATTTGACATCAGTGTGAATAAAGCTATCTTATGAGATGGGAAGTAACATGTTCTTAACTAGAAGTAGATAATAATCTCCCTTATTTCAGACAAAACTACAAAAATAAACATATATTTTTGAAATGCAAGTTATCCTAACTTCTCTGAAACTACGCATCCAATTGATCTCAAAATTTGCAGCCAATAGTGTATGCATGTATTGCATCTTTATCAAACAACGTTGCATAGCTACCTCTCAAGCATTTCAAAGAGGAAACGCATTTCAATGCCAAAGAAATCGCTTTCGATCTCCGTTAATATCAGTGAAATCATACAATAAATTGCTGATCATTTATTAAAATGCAAACTGCTACTGAAATATGTGCACTGTCCGAAAATAATCAATAAACGTGTTGTTAAATTACATAGGATAAAATATATCAACATGATGCACTGCTCGTGAACTCCTATCAAAACATCAGTTACCTATAGTAACAAAAGAAATACGATATGTATTATTCGTTAATATAGTTCAGTCTCGTGACGTGACGTGAACTAAAATAAAATAAAACATTCCCTATTTAAAAAAAGAAACGTAACCAAATCAAGGATGCAGTTCCTTGTATGAAATGTAAAAATTGGGTACTGCCTTTTTATTAGGAAAGGGGGTCATTAAACCTTTTTTTCTATTACTGTGTTCTAATAAATAGACATATCTGTCACTGGAAGGTAAGTCCGATGTGTGTATTTTACCCGTGGGCCGTTTTCTCCTTGATTGTGAACAACTGAATTTATACGTTAAGACATCAATTGAACAAACAAACAAACAAACAAAGCAAGCAAGCAACCACAAACAAACAATACAAACAAATCACTCAATCAATCAATCAATCAAACATATTTCAAAAGGGGAAAGGCGGTTTATCATTTTTTTCTTCGAACAATTGATTCATATTTGTAATTTTTATTCATTCAGCCTGATGCATACGAGTACCAAGTAAAAGAGGGTGAAATCCTTAACATTGCATTTACTTCAACAGTACCAGTTGGTTGTTTTAGCTCAGAGCAAAATTTATGTAGTCAAAGTATCTACATTTCAACACCAACTCAGCAACAAGGGTGCAGTAATGGAAATAACATTCAGCAGAGAGAAATCGTTTTTAATAAAGAGAACTGCGGAATGGAGTTACCCAGCCTGAATTGGAATAAATCATTGTATCTAGATATCCAAGGATATAGCGATGGGATTTATAATCATGCAGATAGGACAACATATATACGACTTTTTACGAATCCAAATGCCGGAAATTCAACGTTAAATATGTCAAATATTTGGCGGAATTTAACAGTTCCAGAAATAACGGTAAGAATGAATTGAAATGACATTTAAAGGGCATTAGCTACGAGATATGAAAAAAAAAATGAATATGTTTTTTTTTCTGGTTCAATCACTAATGAAACTGAAATAGTGAAATAATAATTCGTTTTAAGTACCAAATTTGTTCTATTTTATCAACATGAGCTAAGAAAAATAGCTGATGAATTATTCACTTGCAAGTGAATACTTTGACCTCATTGAATCCGTATTCATGTGACCTTCAATTTAATATATTACCTAGAGATGGGTTACACATAAACTAGGCGTGTTCAGCTTTTAAAAAGAAAAGAATGTCAATATTGAAAGTAAAAAAAGGGTAAACCATTTGATTGACTGATTCGAACCACAAAAACTCTTTTTTATAAAAGTAAAAACTATAATTAACATATTTTTGTAACCATAAATATGAAATCAAACAAACCTAGAAAAATCCAATTGGACGTGTTCGCTATCTATTTGTATCTATATTTATGTTATGACCGTCGACAGTGAACATGAATGTGACAGCTAATGCCCCTTTGAACAATTTATAAAATCCAAAATCCTTTATTCTCTTTTTTACTTAAATGTATAGTAGAATCTTAGGTCTACATGACACAGACAGTCACGTACCTTATACATTGTGCAATGTGATTCATATTAAAGGAAACAGTTGAAAATGCAGAATATATCCCACGATATAATGTTTTAATATGTCACCTACAAAAAACGAAATTAATTCCATTACCAAATCTTTAAGAAATTCACATCAATGCCAAAGTTGCACATCTTTTTCGTACATGTTAACTGATCGAAACGAGGAAGAGGAAGTATTACCCAGAAACTGTATACTATGTTATGTTTACCAAAATACCGTAATTTTTGGCAAATGTAACTCAAACTTCATATTTAATTTATTTCAAAGTTTTGTTTACCATAATTGTTGGTTCTTTTTTCAATTTGTTTCAGGTGAAAGTTTTAGACAAAGATAATGTATTGACCACCAGGCTTTGTTCTTCTTACAATGATCCACATATTACAACATTTGATGGACTTTATTATCATTATATGAATGTCGGAGAATTTGTTATGTACAGAAATGATAATGGTCCTTATTGGGTGAGTATTGAAATAGTATTTTAAGGTAACCTAAAAGTAAATGTTTCTTGTTTCAATGTTCTAATGTTTATTCGTATGAAAATATCGTAAAGATCTTTCAGGGAAGGAATCAGCCTGTAATACAACTTCCATTGACTGTGAATATTAGATTCATGAATATGGGTCTTCAATGCCCTTCAACTTTATACTTTATTCTTAGATATAAGAAGATGCGGTATGAGTGACAATGAGATAACTCTCAATCCAAGTCAAAAAAAAATTTAAAAATGTAAACCATTATAGGTCAAAGTACGGTCTTCAACACGGAGCCTTGGCTCACACCGAACAGCAAGCTATAAAGGGCCCCAAATATAACAAGTGTAAAACCATTCAAACGGGAAAACCAACGGTCTAATTCATATAAAAAACGAGAAACGAAAAACACTTATGAACCACACCAACAAACTACAACTACTGAACATCAGATTCCTGACTTATGACAGGTGCAAACAATTGCAGGGGGTTAAACGTTTTAATGGTACCAAACCTTCCCCTAATCTGAAACAATAGTGAAACATCACAACATAGAAAAACACACTTTAAAATAACAATTGAAATGGCATAACTCAATCAAAAGACAAATTAACACGATCCAACGTACACTGAACAAATAAAGTTGATCTTTGATACAATACAAATATAAAATTGATAAAATATACCGCTATGAAATATTTATCAATTTTAGAAAAACAAAAATAGGCTAGAACAAAAATATGCACCATTTGCATTAATACACAGGTAAATGAAAATAATTTTGTAGTTAGGTTTACATGTACAATTCAAACGGAGAAAGGAAATAATTTTACAAAATAAATAATTTTGATGTTCATAGTACGAAGAAGTGAAAATTTATAGTAATACCAAACACTTATCAAAGCTGGTATATAGGCCAGTTATAACTCTGAATAAGTAAACATTAAATAACAAAAAAGCATAACAAATAGTATCAACAGGTCAAATAAACAAGAAAGTACGATTTGAGAGTACTCGCAGTTACTGAAAGCTAGTTAAAAGCCAAAAACAATTAATAATAAAAAATCATGCAGCAGAGACTAAAATCAACTAAAACACACCCCAGGGATTTAGTATTTTAACGTCATGAACAGTCAATGAAGACATGACTTGTGAAATGCCGAAAATAAATGTATCGACCGGCAGTAGGATAGTGAGGAGTTAACCTCTTTATAGATAAAAAAAAAGAACGTGAGTGTGTCTTTATACATCCCGTTTGAAAAGAAAACAAATTTAGTTATGTTTTAATTTGCTGATGACAAAATCGATATTAGTGCCAATGTAAACTATATTTAATGATCTAATTACTACATTGGTAAGATAATCTTTACTAATAAGTTTATTTAAAGATTCGATGAGTTTACACGGATCACATAGTGATTTCCGCGCTTTAAGTACAATATTACCGTAAAATTGAGGATGTGAAATACCGTTTTTAATCAGTTTTCTACAGGTACAGCCAAGTTTACTAATCAAATCTTTGTATCTATGAAAGAATTTAGTAAAAGTTTGACGTAATGTATGGTAACGAAATCCCTGACTTAATAATTTACCAGTGATGCATTGATTACGTTCGTTAAAATGTATGACATCACTACACACACGGGCATAACGAACGAGTTGGGATATATAAACACCGTACGATGGAGCCAAAGGAACATCGCCGTCTAAAAAAAGAAAAATTAACAATAGGGAATGAAAAGTCGTCTCTTTTGTCGTAAATTTTAGTTTGCAGTTTTCCTTTAGAGATTGCAATGTCCAAATCTAGAAAAGGGCAACTACTGCTGTTTATATTAGATTGAGTTAAAGTAAGTTCTCTTGTTTATATTTATTATGCTTTTTTTAACTTTTTTTATTCGATCGTCACTAGGGAGTCTTTTGCAGACGAAACGTGTGTCTGGCGTGCATGAATTTAAACCTGGTATCTACGATGAGGTTATTAATGACACAAAACATTAACGAAATGAAAAGAACACTTTATAAATTTCAGGCATCCGAAAAGTTTTTCTGTACTAACCTGCATCAGGAAAAAGTAAAATAAAAAATACCGAACACCGAGGAAAATTCAAAACGGAAGGTCCCTGATCAAATGGCAAAATCAAAAGCTCAAACACAACAAACAAATGGACAACAACTGTCATATTCCTGACTTGGTACAGGCATTTTCTTATGTAGAAACCTGGTTTTATAGCTAGCTAATCCTCTCACTAGACAAGCTCAAAGCCGAACATTTGAAAACCAAGGATGTATAAGAACCGAAACAGTTGTATAGCTATATGTATTTGACCAGTACCGAAGAAATGACCACTGAGCTGATGATATCCTCGGGGACTGAAAGCATACCCGCAGAACATAACAATGGACCACCTGTTGTTGTTATTTATTGTTATAATATTGAAATCATCTCATAAACGGTGTATCAAACATGCTGTACTTCGTTATTGCGCTGAAAACCCTATAACTACGTTGCTGTTAAATGTGTATAAACAGTAACTGACTCTTGTTTTAAACTACAAAAAAAAAGGTATAATATATATATATACTCATATCGTCCGACCATACGTGTACGGTGTGGGTACGTTGAAAGTTACTTCTAGTGTCAGTTGCAATAGGTATGACTCTTCAAGGTTTACAAATATAAATGGTTTTAAAAGAGAATTTTGGACTAAATAACATCATGGTTTTTTTGGTTATGGAAAATAAAGTGAATTTTATTCACAAATTATTAATTTTTGAAATTCCTTACGGAACATAATATGTCGTCTTCAAGAAATATCTAGATGAACCATTAAACAGGAAGTCAACTGTTTTACTCACATGAACTTGGGGCATTAAACCCTTTTTTTTTTTTTTTTTTTTTCTATCTTGTTTTTATGTTAATTTTTTTTAAAGAATTTAAAATTTCTTTAAAAATTTCAAATTACTTTTAGTTATATAATGTTCATACAATTTTACAATGTCAGTTGTTTAAACGTGTTGTCTCTCTAGCTAATCTTATATAGAAAAAAAATAGTGGAGCAGTGAAAATATTTGGAAATTAAAAAGGAGAGAAAACTAATCTTTTCACCGGGTAAACGCCTGTCGTTTTACTTATGGAAGAAAATGATAAGGCCAGCTAAATTGACTCTAGCGAAGACAAGACAAAAGATACACCAAGATTGAGACAATTTGTCAAATATAAAGGATTTTATTTAGTAACTTGAGCCGATTTTGGATAGGAGAACGAACTGTGTCTTCCTGTGAAGGATATTAGAATTTATTTTTTAAAAATACCTTTATAATGTTAAAACTGATTTGGCGCAGCTTGTTAATAACCATGTGAATATACGCATATGGTCATGAGCATATGCGTATGGTCCAAATACTCATATGGTCCGGAACATATATAATATCAAAAAGAAATAGCAGCAGGAAAGATCTTCTTTATATTACGTCGATATGAGTGACACAATGATTGGTGCACATCAATAAAACAGCAAAACAACAACATGATAACCCCATTTAGTTATTCAGGGATCAACGCATGTGCTTATCAAATACAAAAGTGTCTTCGTATATATTTGATTTAAAAAGTTATACCTTCGATCTTCTATCGATATCCCTTGATTGTTTAATGTTGTTGGGATGCTATTTCGTTAATGAATATTCAACAATACCGTTAATCAAAAATCAAAGGCACATTACCACATTCGGAAATCGGCTAGTGCCATATCGTCTGATAATGTTACCTTGCGTCCTGACAAGATATGAATACATTGAAATGTTGAGACGAACACAAACTATATCATGTTTATTGGGCACTTACACCATATCCGAAATATACCGAACACTAAACTAACGCGAACATGACAGGAAGACTCCAGGATTTGAGACAGACACAAAGACGTATTGTCTAGTTTAACTATACTCACTACTGTACATTCTCAAGTGTTGTCATCATTTGAAGATCAAAGGATACAATGTACACCTAGAAGTACATCTAGAAACACGAATACATCAATTTAGTCAGTAAAATCTGTTAAATATAATATTAAAACCCATAAAAAACAACAATAACTATATAATGGTGCACCGAAGAAAGCTTAATGTGACTTGTATGTTATTTTTACTTTACTGTTTCTGATAGAAGTCTGTGTGTTGAGTGAGTTTTTTTGTTGCATTATTGTTCCCTCGTCGAATGTATTTTGTGTAAAAAAGGAAAAGTAAGCCTCAGCCTAACTGAGTTTGAAATAAGGTAACATACTTTTCATCATCATATTGTTAACATCTTATAGGGAAATCACTGTAGTGGGTTTCATTGGGGTGTAAGTGGGATCCAGGATAGGCCAAATTTTTGTAAGCGTGACACATGAAAGTCAAATTATGTTGCATTAAAGCGGGATAAGAAGAAGCGTGGGACACATAAAATTACAATCACTATTATCACAATGATAACCCCCCAAATGAGAACGCCACTGTATTTTTTGTGATGACTTTTTCTATCTATCAATCTGTCTTTTAAAGGTGCATGCCTTATTCACCAACTGTGGATGGGGATGGGTTGGATCGTCATGTAATTGTGGAGTAGCTGTTCGAAGTCGGAGATCACTATTTGTGATACGAACCTGTAGAGAAATATCTAGAACACAATCTGACTTTTTTCCACAGCCACGAACATACAAGATAAATTGCGATGAGAATGACATGTTCATAGATCCCAATGATAATGGATATATTGTAAGATCATACAATTAATTACACTGTGTCCCATCATCCATTACAAACTGTTTTTTTTTTTTTTTTAGTTTCAAAGATTCAAATAACACACGGGAAAAGTAATTTATTCTGTACTTATAACAGCCCACAATTAGTTCATCCTTTTTTAGTCAATACCACAATCTACGTATTCACATAAAAAGAAGATACTAATCAAGGAAAATGTGGGAATTCATTAACTCTAAAGGCAGCGACATCGTGTGAGTTTACCAGGGAACCGTATCCTGTTTTGTATACATCTACGATGTCCTTGAAAGAATTGTTTGAATGTTTTTGTTTTAAACTGTTCATTTGGCATTCCCAATTTTTTATTCGAGTGCAACTGATGAGTTGTGTCTAAAAGATTATGCAGTTAATAATACTCGTTTGTGTTACTTATTTATAATTTTTTAGCTATGATGACTTCATTTTGATTGTCACAGTATAAATGACGAGTGTTAACGTTACAAGTTAATTTTCTAAAATAGTTGTTACAAATAGTTACTACCGACTAGATATCTTACGCGTTATAGTGTTCCTTTTGTTTTGTCTTTGTTTATTTTTATTCTTTACTGGTTAATCATTTTTGGTAATATCCTTTTGGGGTGGCTCTGTATTTATACATCCCGCCATTGTTATAAAAATAAGGAGATGTAGTATGCTTGCCAATGAGACAATCATCCATTAAAGTTCAAAATGGATGAAAGCAGTTATTAGAAACCGTACGGCCTTCAACAATGAGAAAATCCCATACCGTATAGTCGGCTATAAAAGGCCCCGGCATGAAAAAATATGAAACAATTCAATTGAGAAAACTAACAGGCTAATTATATATACAATATAATAACAAAACAATTTACGAAAAACAAATATGACAGACATGAACCAACGACAACCACTGAACTACAGGCTCTTGACTTGGAACAGGCACGTGGCGGGGTTAAACATGTTTGTGAGCGCTCAATCATCCCCTTACCTGGGACAGTGGTGTTACAGCACATCATAAGAACAAACTATAAAAATCGATTGAAAATGGCATAACTCATTAGATCGATACAAAGCTGAAAAACATCTAACAAAAACACAGATCGGAAGTGGTAGGATATTTATCCAGTCCTTTTCCATAAAAACAAAACAGACTTAGTTTATTTATTTTGTATTTACATTGTATCATAGATCAAGTTTAATTGTTCAGTGTATGTTCACTGGTGTTAATATGTCTTTTGATTGAGTTAAGCCATTTCAATTGATATTTTATAGTGTGTCTTTCTATGTTGTGATGTTACACTATTGTTTCAGATAAGGATGAAGGTTTGGTACCATTAAAACGTTTAAACCCACTGCAATTGTTTGCACCTGTCATAAGTCAGGAATCTGATGTTCAGTAGTTGTCGTTTGTTGATGTGGTTCATAAGTGTTTCTCGTTTCTCGTTTTTTATAGAGATTAGACCGTTGGTTTTCCCGTTTGTATGGTTTTACACTAGTAATTTTTGGGGCCCTTTATAGCTTGCTGTTCGGTGTGAGCCAAGGCTCCGTGTTGAAGACCGTACTTTGACCTATAATGGTTTACTTTTATAAATTTTGACTTGGATGGAGAGTTTTCTCATTGGCACTCTTACCGCATCTTCTTATATCTATCTACTAAGTACAGATCTGAGAGTACCCTCAGTTACTGATAGCTAGTTCAAAGCCAACTAAACTGATAAAAAAAAATCATGTAATTAAGACTAAATTACCAATCAGTACACATTTAACATCCAATGGATTTAGTGTAAATACATCATCAACAGTCAGAGAAAAGCATGACCTTGTGCAATGCTAAAATAAAGGTATCGAAAGATTGTTGTACCGTTAAAGTGCATATGTGTATAACAATACTATAATGTTATTGTGCTATGGTATTTTTTTGTTTTCTTTTCTTTCATGTTTGATTATGTGATTTGTCTATATCTATAGTGTCTATATGTCATTTTGTTTTTCTTTGTTAGTTGTTTGTTTTATAGTGATTAACAATGTTTACTGATGTACCCTAATTTTGGACATTTTTACTGATAAGGTTTGTTTGTTTTGCTCATACATTGTTGTAAATATAAAATTCCATTATATTGACAACAATGTGTGTACAAAACAAACAGACATAATAGGTAAAAAATGTCAAAAATAGGGGTACAGTAGTCAACATTGTGTTATAATCTTAATCACTTTAAAACAAACAATATGTAAACAAAGAAAAACAAAAAGACATATAGACAAAGCGCATAAGCAAAAACGAAAGACAAAAATACCAAAATGTTAATAAGCACACTAACACAATGACGGGATGTTTAGCGAGCTATTAAATCAGGTTCGATCCACCATTTTCTACATACCAAGTCAGGAGTATGACAGGTGTTTTCCATTCGTTTGGTGTTAGCTTTTGATTTTGTCATTTGGACTTTCCGTTTTGAATTTACCTTGGATTTCGGTATTTTTGTTATTTCATTTTCTTCTAAATGGTGTAGTGTATCTTTATTACTTTTTTTTACAATGGTTCCGTATGAATGTGCCGGGTAAATAAAAACGTACAGCTTGTTTTTTGATAATAAACTATAGCATATGCGATAATATTCAAGATTCCTGGATTCACAGAAGCCATTTGTCTGGAAATACCTTTTATAAAGGTCACCCGTTTTGTAAATAAAAATCACAAAACAATTTAAAAAATGCCCGATTGCAAGACGATTACTTAAAGATCCACAGCGATTACGGTCATGCACTTGGTAGATTTTTAATACAATTCAACCTGATTAAATCGAGCACTTTTTTAATTTAATTTTACCGATTTTGTACAGTGTTTACTGGATTGGTTTTTATTTTCTATTTTAAATATATAATAAATTATATCAATGATTAAGAGAAAATCGTATTAATCTCATTTTCCGTTTCTTTTATTTCATGTAGTGATCAGACTTTTAATAGCCATTGGAATCTATTGAGTAAGCTTTTGTCTGTCATTACAAATCGCATGTTATCTAATGTATTTGTAATTGGTTTGCCATTGTTTTAAGGTTGAAAAGCACTATTGTTAGCCATATTGTTGTGCAAACTGTATAGTCTAATATACATATATTAAATGATCATATATATATATATATATACTAAAGGTTACCTTGCCGTCTGGTGCAGAAATACGAATTGACGTTTCATCGGGGTCCAAGTTCATCAACCCAATAACAATCAAACCGACAATATACGATATAGGAGAAACAAAGGGGCTGTGTGGACATTTAAGTGAAACAAAAGATGCAACAGACGATTTTAAACAACGAGATGGCAGTCATACTGATGACACTTACACTTTTGGGGATTCCTGGAAGTAAATTATTTCTTACACGAACAATTACTAGAGTAAACGATCAATCTATAGTACAGATGATAAGTACCATAAAATATGCCAATTACCTTTTAGACTTTTATTGATTATACAAATAAAAATAAAATAACGAAAAAAAGGTTGGAATTTGAAAAAAAAAACTTGATTTTTTATCTCGGGGAAATGTTTTTATTTTCTTTGTGTCAACTTACAAACAAATAAAAGAGAGGTTTAAGATTGATTATTACTAGTGTAAAATAAGTTCGGACATTTCAGATATAAAGTCCTCATTTTTACTTCAATGAAGCTATATTTATTCTCCTTCATAAACTTAATATTTGTTTAATATACTAGTATGACTGAAATTCGTTTGTGGGTTTTTAAACACAGAAATTACTAAAAAAATATGCGCAAACTGACAAAATAAAACAACCACATTTTGAAAGTTTTAGTGAATAGTTTTAATAAGATAACAGTAATAGTGTTCATTTACTGTTATATGTAAAATGTTGACGTATTCATAACTCTACGGTTTTCAAGCCCTACTAGAGGCACATATTACATGGCAAATAATTGGCACAACTTTTTGTAATGTTCGGTTCTTAATGCTCTTTAATATGCAAGGGTCTTGTGATTTTCAAATGTATCGAGCTCAAAGATTTGATTTACCACTCAGCTTTGTTTTCATTTATACAAGAATTGCAATAACCAGAATAATTTGACATCAGTGATGTCTAATACATGTTTTATCTTTCACAATGGAATACAAAAGTTGAAAAGAATGCGTATGCAACATGCAGAACATGTTCGTGTATTCTACATGCACATTAGAAAAATCAATGTTATTGAATATGTTGTTTGTTTATGGTTAATTTGAAATTTTTGAGACATATATTATAAACAACATGTATAAAATTTTTAAAAAATGGAATGATCTGATATAATATAAATCAATTCATGCTTTATTCATAATGAATTAAAAAAATAAAGTCTATATTTCTAAGAAAGTTCTAGACAGTTCATAGAGTCGAAATTCAGGTCATCATACCTGGTAATATAAGGCCTAAGTCCATGCATTTATTTTACAGGATTGATCCGTCTGGTACGGAATCACTGTTCAACAACTTCCCATATATTCTTTCCCAAGATACCGGTAAGTACTATGTATCATTGTACCTAATATGAATGCTTATTTCTTTTTTAGCAGTGACGTTGTCAGTTCATTTTTCAACTTACGAGTTTGAATGTCCCTTTGGTATATTTCGCCTCTATTATTTTAATCAAACTTCTGAAATCGATCAATATCGTATCTACTTTAAATAAATTACAAAATGTTCGGAAGGTATGTTAAATGCGTGCTTTCTTATAAAAAAAGTTATCGGACATGCTTCTTAAAAGTTTTGTTATTCTATTCATCGTCAAATTGATGACTGAGATCTAAAAAAAACAGCTTATGCCCACCATATTTTCATGTACCTCTCCGATATCAGAATCAGAATTAGTTATTGTTTATAGTTTTGTCACTTAGGGAATTTGGTTTTTGACCGAGCCCGATTTGGTGGTGTTGTATCTTACAAAGTCTATCCAAATCAATTTGCAAAGAATTCCGATTAAGCCGGAGCTAAGGGCCGACTTACCCTTGCAGTGAGGTGAGAGTTTTTTTGGTTTTTTTTTTTGCTCCGAGTTGAAGGCCTCACTGTTACTTAAGATGAAGAACATCAATAGAAGAGCTGTTCCTATGCCTTTTGTGTGTTTTTTTTTTTACGTTCATATACTGATTTTGTAGCATGGATGGATACCCCATATCCTTTGTTTTTCTATTAAAGAAGGTACTAGTAGACAAAAACTGTAAACAGAAAACATTACCAGCAATAGAAGACAAACAGAAAAGAGATTTTTGTCATGAATTTTATTCTTGTCCATAATGTTGGAGAGTGCCCATGGTTAAAAATACAAAGGCTCTTTAGAGTCTATGCTCATTGTGTGTAACCGATCTTAACACAAATGCTGTTCATTATCACGTTTATGTTTTCCCTCTTAGTTTTAATTCATTCACAAATTCGATCCTCTTGAGTGGCATCGAATTTTGGAATGTTTCTGGGTCATCTGAAATATTGGTTAGATAGTCCATTTGGTAATCATATATACTATAAGCACACTATTCAAAGCTTTCTGAGGTTGGTCAACTTAAAATTTTTCATCCGAATTTATTTTGTTCCTGCAAGCTTTCTGTTCCATCCTCTTTAAGAATTTCTTGTTGTTCAGTCTATTTACTCTCTACTCCTTTATTCCGTGATCATCCCGGGTCCCCCCTGGTGCGTTGGTTCCATTATGATTATCATGTCAGCCAGCTGACCTTTTCTCAGCTAAGAATACTCTTTGAACTTGTGCTTCCTAGTGATGTCCCTTAACCTTTTCTGACAATTTCAACGACAAAAATATTTTTGATTGAAGGTGTCATGTCTATAGGATACACCTCATTTAAATGATACATTGTATTGTCATTTTACCCTTCTTACTGGACTAAAATGCGTTAAAGCTTGTGCTCATTTTCAATTTTCGAAAATTTACCTAGATTGGATAATCGAAATTCTCCTAAAATTTACGACAATTAAGGTGGTTTAATACTGTTTTCATATACATTATGCATAATTTCCAGTCAAAATCTGCTTATTTCATTACATAAGGAGCCTGAATATCATACATGATACGCGAGGGAGTAAGAGACTAACCTCCATTTATTTGACACACTTATATAATATTTTAAGACTATATCTAAACAACGAAAACAGGTGATTACTGCTTCAACCATTTTATTAGTGATTTTGGTCATGTTTGCCCTTTGCTTGTGTTGCTGGTAATTTTTTCTGTCAAATGTTTCACTTTGTTTACTTCTTTTTTCAAGATCAGACCTTGAATTGAAAACATTGGGTATTATTTTAGGGTTACATCTGTAATAATTTTTTTAATTCAGCCCACTTATATATGAATAGGGACCTAGCACAGGAGGTTTAGATTTGAAGTCGTCGTCAATATTGAGATCATTCAACACATGTCTGTAATGGAAAATTTTAGTCGCAATTGGTTAAGCATATAATTGCATAAGAGATGACATGTATAGACTGATTTCTAAAGTACGGAGGTATTTCATATTGAATTGATTAAGGATGAAGGATATTGCCTAAATTGATGGCAACGATTTAAATAAAGAATCTGTTCTCCGTTACATTTTTCTTTTCAATTGACAAATGATATGAACATTCAGTGACTGGCAATGTCCGAAATAACAGCTGTAAGTTTATACTGGTTTGAATGAAATTTTGAAAGAGTTTGAGAACTTAGTGACATAAACTTAAAAGAACTGTTCTCTAGTGTAGTGTATACAGTAATTTCTCCCTTTACTTTCGACACGTGAGAAATAGTAGTTTCTTTTGTTAACAAGAAAAGTATTACACCAAACGTATTAATTGAAAAGTTGAAGCTAAGTCTTTGTAATTTTCCTCTTATCCATAATTTGATTTATATTCGTGGGAAATCTGTGTCACGGAAACCACGGATTTGTTTCATTTTGTATTCACGATTCCATCCTCATTTCCAAATAAGTTTACTTGTCTTGAGCAACATGACGATTGCCACTAGTGAAATAGGAACCGGTTACCCTTCAGACTCATCTCAGTTTGCTCTGGCTTATTGTTAGTCTCGTAACGCTCAGACTTTAGTGTTAGTCCGTCTGACCTTTTATCGTTTCAACCATTATCATGTCTTTCTTTCTGCGTCTTATATCATTTGCTTATCTTCTTTCTATAATCTACTTTTGACGTATTTTCTTTAAAACTATCATATCATTTAGGGTTTGACTTATTGAATTGACACGTGCATACATGTACATGTTTCGGTAGTCCGGTAGTTTTTCACATTAACCAATTTTCTTTATAGACCTACCGTCTATAAAGAAAACTTCTGGTTAAATATACCACCTTTTTCAGCTAATTGTGAATAAAATGGTATGGAGTAAACGTCAATAAAACACGAACCAAACCTCAAACCCAACCGAAAGACGTCTACAGGTTGGTCGGTCAACAAACAGAATATAATTAATTCTAGTTTTCAAAAATAATAGTAGAGAATAGGTATTACTCAAGTACGTTTAATGTCATAAATTACATAAACATTTACTGATTAATATGGTAAGCTTTGATTAAATGACAAAGATGTTGAAAAGAAGAAGTACGTCTGTCTTAACTAATTTCACAAATAGATTTCAAACCTCTTAGAAAAACAAAAACGTTAAATTTTGTTTCTGAAAAATGCTTTAAAAAGATTGATGAAAATTACTGTTACAGAAACATATCAGATTTTCAAAGTCATTCTCCTTATCACAAACCTATCCCACATTCGGTTAATGTATTTTTTTTTTATTTCAGGAGATAAATTTTAGAAATGGTTGGACGGAGGTAAGCGCAAATCAAACCTGTCAGGAGCGCCTTAATCATGTTGTGCCGTCCGACTTGTTTGGTGAAATAGCAGGAGCATCGGATACAGATTTTATAGAAGCTTGCATTATGGATATAAAGGTAATATTATACGGTTAACCATTGTTACACATATTCTTCCAACATTTTAAACTGGATGTGATTTCTTTTCAATTCCAGTAATGTATTATCTCTAAGACCAAGATGTGATAATTTTAGTTCTTTTTACAAGAGTTGGGTAGCAATTATCAAAAATACACAGGAAATAACCACATACCTATCACAAAAGAAAATATCCAGACCAAACATACATAATAACTTAATAGATGATTAGCATGATGAATGAACGAACGAACGAACACACAAGGTGAATTCATTATAATTTTATAATCTGCATGGTAAAAGTTTTCATCCTTAAGCGAAGACACCTTAATAGAAAAAAAAATGTGACATATTTATAGAATTTATTTCATGTTTTCTAAATAAAGTTAATCGCCTACGTGATTTGGTGGTAAATTACTTCACCAAATGTGAGAAGTTGTTGTTTCATTATTGGCTGATAGAACCAAGTATTGTTTTTTGCTGTCCATCCGTTGATGTATCAGAATAAGAATAAAAAACAATTTGATTACGATAGAATAGCATGTATGTTTAATAACAGACTGGTGCATTGTGACTGTTTGATTGACGCCAAATTTTAAAGTTTCCCTGCTTATTCTTGACGATAATATATCACCATAAACCCTAATTTCAGGTTGAAGAGGTGCCGACGTTGATATTCACATTACAGTAATGACTTTTTGCCCTGGACAGGATTAAAAATTATCCGAATATATAACACACAAAAAATATTTCTTTTTGGTAGAAGTGGGACGATCAACATACTTGTTCACACGTTCAGTCTTGTTATTTGACAACTGTACATTAGGCCACACTACATTAATTTCTAGTTTTTCGGACTCTTTCCTTTGGAAAACGGTAGCGAGAGAGCTAAATTTTTGTATTTGTTTTTTAAGCAAGCGAGCGATTAGAAATATACATAGTTTCGGTTATTCTTATTGTATATATCTCATACTAGTATCCTAGTTCTTATATTACATTACTTTGCTTTTCAATTTGTTCTCTGACACCCAGTTTAATCTTTTCTCAACATTTGCAAGGATAAAATGGTTAACTTGCAGCAACACCTACAACTTCGTGTAGTCTGATCAAATAATTATAATCCTGCTGAACATGAAAAAGTGCAACAGCTTTGAACAGGCACGCATCCATGTTTAATGTAAGTTATACTAATTGATGCATTGTATGTTGTTTCAAATAAACATATGCAAAGCATAAATGCATGTATAAGACTGGTATATATAACCATAAATATCCCATATACAACAAGCTGAGAATGCTGAAAATAAATAAAGGACTGTCCTTCAAAATCCAATAAAAAAAAAACGTACTACTACATAAAGAAAATACATGCGCAAGAACAACGTTATAGTGAAAAACATTGCCTCAGCTTTCAATTGTATCAGTTTTGCTTAAAGAAAACAAAGCGGAAAAAGATACCTGTAAATGTAAAAATAATCTTTCCATTTGACCTCAATTAAGACTGAAAAAATAGTTAAGACAGACAGCTAGATACCATAAACATACTACATGTATGTATACACAGATCAGAGTCTGAGCTTGATTTGCTATATGATGTAAAAGCTAAACTGACGAAAAAAGGTCATTTATTCAAAATCATAAAATGCAAAAAATACATTTTGCAAATAAAACATTTGACATAAAAGTTCATATTTAATATGAATTAATGATACATAGTTAATACGAAATTACATCAACTAATATCATATCAATTGAAAAATTGACAAAGAATAGCAAAGGTGGGGAGAAAAATCTGCCCAACAAATAAACATATATACATATCTACTTCAAAAGATAACATTAAGGGAGGTATGGGGGTGGGAAATTTTAACACATTGTTTGATAAGAATCACAAATTAACACATCAAATGCTGATGATAAAGGGAAGTGACCACAACGCACTTACACGTGAACTCGTGCTGACCCCGCAAGATCATTGACCAATAAGAAAGATGTAATCCAATCATGCACTGGTCATAAGTGAAATTTCTCTGCACGTGAAAACATGTTATCTAATTTCAACAATTTATCGTTTGGTTAAGTAGGACACCCTGACCCTTTGACCAGACTAGAGACATCATAAATTTACAGTATAAATAGCTCACTCTTTATTTAAGTCTTATTAATAAACAATTAAAAATAGAATTATCTTCTCTGCTGTCTTAAATTATTTTATTCAGCTTAATTTTCAATTAGCAAATAAAATTGGTTTTAAGACAGACAACTAGATACCATAAACATACTACATGTATGTATACACAGACCAGAGTCTGAGCTTGATTTGCTATATGATATAAAAACTAAACTGACGAAAAAAGGTCATTTATTCAAAATCATAAAATGCAAAAAATACATTTTGCAAATAAAACATTTGACATAAAAGTTCATATTTGATATGAAATATTAATACATAATTAATACGAAATTACATCAACTAATATCATATCAATTGAATAAATGACAAAGAATAGCAAAGGTGGGGAGAAAAATCTGCCACAAATCCGCTCTTAAGCTGAAAGAGTGGATCCCAAATCCACTCTTAGGCTGAAAGAGTGGATCCCCCTCATGTATTCACATACATGTACACCAAAAAATAACACTTTATTTTTGTAAAACGTTTCCACATTGAGCAGAAATATTAAAAGTTCATATGATCATATACCAAGATATTACTTTTAAATTATCTCTTACTGATAAAAATGATTAAAGGTGTAAATCTTAATCCGGTCAGGACCACAGAAAACAATAAAGTTACAATATAATCGTCGTTAAGTATATGTTTCAGAATTCATATTTCGTCTTACATCTGGACATTTAATAATAGTATCCCCTAAATATTTTAGTACGGACAAATAGTACATTAATTAACCGAAACTTTATCTTCAATCTTAAATCTTCAAACAAAATAGAAGTACATTTATACGAAGCCCTGGATGTTTTCTAAATACAAAGTTTTATATCTGACTATTTCTAAATGGGATCATGAGCAACTGATTCTCATACTTCACTTCACATTTTCAATAAAAATTGTATAAAGATCATAGATTTATTAAATTTCTTAAGGAAAAAGGTTTTAAATTGAAATTAGTAAATAAGTGTCTAATGAAGACCTTTTTAACTCTCAGTTATTTTTGTTATTATTGATATGAGACTTTAGAAATATTTTGCGAGACTCATGATTCGGTAAAAAGAAATAAGCTTTAGTCATAATCTTGAATATACAGCTTTTTAGAAATTTAATGACTGGTGAATACCACCATTCAATATTAATAGTAATAATTTATATCGATAATACCACTATAAAAATAACGGGAATCCACCAAACTTACTTATCCAGCACTGATAAGCTTGGGGACTTTTAATTTACACTTGAAATATACTAAATATACATCGGGAATTTGATTTTTCTATTGAAAGAAAATAATAATAATAATAATAATAAAAAATAAATAAATAAAAAAATATAAATATATAAAATAAATTCATATTCATTTTCTTCCTGACATGCTACAGAACTTATTCTGAACATACTGATATTCCAATGCAATACATTTTAACAGGTTTATATTGTATATGGTCGTAATAAAGTTATAAAATGAAAAATATCTTTGAAATAATATTCCAGCTTTAAGTAATTTTTCGTATAATTTTTATTTACCTTGCGATGAACATGATGAAAGTTAAATGATGTAAATTTTAACCGAGTAAATATTTATAACTTTTGACACATACTCTAATTTTTTTCTCGAAAGAGAAAAAAACATTTAATTAATAACTAAATTAGTTAAATATAAAAACTTTAGTTTGTAATGAGTTTACCTCTAAAGACCATAGCATTTAGTACATCATTGGGATTAACCACAAAGTCCTTTTATATATATATATATATATATATATATATATAGATTGCCTAACAATGTAATTTTAACACACTATTTAGTATGTAAATATAAGAATGTTTAAAATATTTACAAAATGATGAAAATAAACGCAATATTTCGCTAGACTAACTAGCTTTATCAAGCGTGCATCTATCCAGGTGAAATCGGATGTAGATGATAAGAAACTTTTGCAGCTCAATGTATATGTTGCACTTGAATTTAGCTGCCTTGAAAATAATACATTATGTGGATGAAGTTCAAGATTTTTACAAAATTGGTAGTTGAAGTTATCAACGTCCATTGGCCAATATTACAGGATAGAAAGGACGATGCTGTGTACTAAATTATTCTTTATCTTTCCTGTATCTTTTCTCATCTTTTTCGTTAAGACCATCAAGTTCTAAAGTGTGGAGTTGGTGGATCCAAAAATTTTCTCTTCTCCTTCTCGCCGTGGTGTCCCACTCGGTGTTGACTTCTATGATTTGGAAGGTAACATTATCAAAAGAATGTTTCGTTGAACGAAGATGTCTTGTGAGAGGACAGTTTTTGTTAGTTTTGTACCATGAACGATGGTTATTGAGCCGAATATTAAATTTGTCCATTGTTTCTCCCACATACTGAATGCCACATGTGTCACATGTTAATATATAAATTGAGTTCTCCGTTTTACAGTTGGAATTTAAGTAGATGGTATAATTTTGTTTAGTAACGGAGCTGATGAAAGAACTGCTTGTATTGGCAGCTTTACAACACAAGCAGTTCCTTCGACCACATTGTTTGTAGCAACCGGGAGATGGAGTAGGCTGCTTTGCTAATACAGATGTCACTAATTTGTCACTGATGTTTTTAGGTCTTCTGAAGGCCATGACTGGTGGTGAGGAAAATACTTTTTTAAGATTTGAATCATTTTCTATAATTTTCCAATGCTTCTGAACAATGGAAGACACATTTTTAAAATCAGGATGGTAAGTGAGTACAAGGGGTGTTCTGTTAGCTGCTTTATTCTTATCTTTGTACTCTAGAAGTTCTTGGCGACTAGTTTTGTTTGCTCTTTCGAAAGCGCTATCAATGATGTTGTTA